TTCTAATAAGTATAACGAATCTTTTTTTAATGTTTGGATTACATAATATTTAAATTGTAAGAATATTTAAATATATCAAGTTTGAATAAGACTTATTGTGGTTGTTTAGGTATTTTTATAGCTTAAATTAGATTTTTTTTGGGTGTAATTTTGGTTAAAAAATACTACCCTATAAATATAATTAAGAAAAAAGACATATATAAAAATATTAACTTTTTTTTTTATTTTGAAAGATTGTCTTTTGCTACATAATCATTGCCATTTAATAAATTTTAAAATAAAAAAAGTGAAATGTATTTCCATATTTAAAAAAGGTAAAGATTTATCACTCAATTTAAAAATTGTAAGAATTTATATTTATAATTAAAAAAAATAAAATTTACGTTTTTTTTCTATAATTTTTTTTATAAGTAAGGTAATAATACAATGCATAATTCGTCCATGTTCTTCCGCCTGATGATGATGATCTTATGTAATCCATCAGCTTTTATTTTCAACAGATATTATTAAATTAATAAAAAAATTAATATTTTCAAACAATATTTAAGAAAAAATGAGCGAGCTTAACATTTAATGCGTCGACCAATGACCCTATCCCTTGATTCAGCCCCGCTTTAAATTCTGACATCAAACTCTTTCTCTTACAAAGAAGTAAAGAACCCCCCACTTTCCAGTTTACTTTTAAAGATTATATTTTGGTTCCCAATACAAAAACAATTGTTTTTTTTTTTTTTTCCTATTTTGCCGCCTCTTCCACCGGAACCCCTCCTCCTATTCTTCATCTTCTTCTCCTCATCCTCCTGCAACTTCCATGGCTTCATGGTATTAACTCAAGCACTAATGAAGCTTTCAAAAAATCCATTTTAGTCCCTAAAGACCTACTAATCCAATGTATCAAAGTTCCAAACTTTTTCAGTATTATCCTTTTTCTCTGCTCCGTTTACACCACATCAAAACAACAATCTCTGGCTTTTTACTCCGTTTACCCACCTCCCTTCTTGCACTCCTCCTCCTCTTCCTTTTGGCTTACAATGGCTTCTCTGTTTTCTATATTAATCTCCCCTTTACCGCCAAAATTTGCCCGGAACCCGCCAATATCTTGCCTGCTAATCTCACCGGAGAGAAAACTGTCACAAAGTTGCCATCTTCGGTGATGTATGCGGTGAAGGAGGAGAAACCACCTGTGATTTGGAAGAACCCGCTTCCTCTACTGTCCAAACCCAACTCTTCAACGGTGCCTATTAGCAAGTCTCTCCGTTCTAGGCGAAAAAGGGGGCGTTTGGAGAGACAGATATCGAGGGTTCTGAGTATAGGAGATAAATCAAGGAGGTTTTCGGCTAAAGTGAAGGAATTTTTCGAGAATTCAAAGTGTAAGAGTCGGTTCTTCATGACTTGGATTTCTTCACTAGAGTCATTTGGTAATAGGGAGTTGCTTTCTATTGAGAGTTTATTCAAGTCACACCCAAATGCTTGTTTGCTAATTGTGTCAAACTCATTGGATTCAAGAACAGGAAGAGTGATTTTGGATCCATTTTTGGATAAAGGTTTCAAATTGATCGCCCTTAAGCCTGATTTTGATTATATATTCGAGAATACTCCTGCAGAATTGTGGTTTAATCGGTTGAAGAAAGGGAACGTTGATCCTGGGGAGGTTTCTTTGGGTCAGAACCTCTCCAATTTGCTTAGACTTGCTTTGTTGTACAAATTTGGTGGTACGTACATGGATACAGATGTTATAGTGTTGAAAAGTTTCAATAAATTAAGAAATGTGATTGGGGCTCAGACAATCGATCTTAAAACCAAGAATTGGAGCAGATTGAATAATGCCGTGTTGATTTTCGACAAGCAGCATCCATTGCTGTATAAATTCATTCAAGAATTTGCCCTTACTTTCAATGGAAACAAGTGGGGTCACAATGGCCCTTACTTGGTTTCAAGGGTTGTGTCAAGGATTTCCGGCAGGCCTGGGTATAACTTCACAGTTTTGCCTCCACCAGCGTTTTATCCAGTGGATTGGAGTAGGATTCGGAGTCTTTTCCAGGGTCCAAGGAATGAAGTCCATTCAAAGTGGTTGCACCATAAGCTTGAGAATATCCACAGGCAAAGCTTTGCAGTTCACCTATGGAATAGGCAGAGTAGGAAGCTTACAGTTCAGGAAGGAAGCATCATAGATCGAATAATTTCAGATTCTTGCATCTTCTGCAATTCTTCACAGTCAAGTTTGTAAGTACATAGAATGAAGATGACAATTTACAATGTCTTCTTGTTCTTTCCTCTCTTGAAAATATTGATGCTGTTGTTTTCTTGTGGTTGTGGATTGACTCAGTTCATTTCTTGTGGTTATTGTTAATGAAAATCATGAGAAAATTTTCATCCAAAAAAAAAAGAGAAAAAAAAAGTTTTATTTTTATTTTTTTAATTTCTGTTAATCTTTGCTTTAATCCTATATGCATGATAATATTTAAGCTTTTTAGGTGCTAGACTCGATCAAATTGCAGGAACAGGAAAATGATATGGATATGTAGACCATTTCAATAAGAAATTTAAGATTTGAAAGTGATTTCTCTTTTTCATATTAATGCTGATACCTACCGTTCTGGTCTCACTTGCATCCTTAGACATTGTCATTTGACATAACCCCAAATCCGTCACTATTTGAGAATCGGGACAAATCTGCCTCTTAAAAAAATATAATAATAAATTATTTATTTAAATTATAAATAAAAATAAATTACATATTTTTTAACATGTGATATCAATTTTTTATTAAAAAATACTTATATAATAAATAAAATTTTGATATGATAAATTAAAAAATGAGTATTTTACCATAATTTATGATTTGAATGAATAATTTATTCTTGCTTTTTTGTTTTTTAGTGAATTTATCCCTACCCATGTGAGGTGTGGATCTGGGGTTTTACCTTGTCATTTCCTCTTTTCTTTATCCATTCAGATCTCTCTATTCTAACTACCATGTAAATGTTATTATTATATTTCCTTTGGCTTTCTTACTGCGTGCATCTGATCATTTTTGTGCTAATCCGACCCAGAAAACAGATCCAGCACGGCGTTGACTTCATTGTTCTACTTTGATCTTAGGTTCCTGAGAAAATTTTTCAATTTTCTAATGGTGCTTTCATGTGGTAGATTCTACATCCTTGTGGCATAAAGTCACACTGGGATTTCTCACATTCAATGTCTATGATATGATTATAGAAGTAATTAATGTATTCTGCCAATCCTTTCCACGATGTAGCCAGCAAAAACATTTGTTATCTTCAAACATTATAAATGCAATTTAATGTCTACAGAAATCTTGATCATTATTTTCGTGATAAACCATGCTTGGATGATGGCAAAACAAAGAAAAAAAAGAAAAAAATCATGCTTGGATGGAGTACCTGGTTTTAGGGTCATGCAAAGCCTCACCTAGTTAATCAGCAAGGAGTTTGCCTTTGCCACCAAGCTAACACAAAAGCTTCCCCAGAGTGGATATACCATAGAACTTTCATGTGCCTAACTGCCCGCAAACTCATCAAAAGAACATGAAATGAAACCAAAATATAATCCTAAACCATCAGAAGCCGATTTGTGTGACTCTAAAATCACATAAATGCATCGATGTTCCCCATCAAACATGCCTTGCATATTATATTATTATTAAGTACAATTGTCAACCATAACTTTTTCTCTTATCTGCTTCTGAGTAATTTTCATTAAGTTGTTGGTTAGGTGCGGCTTTGGTTGGCAACAAGGATGCTAAGCTTGAGAAAGTCTTCTGAGATTTGGTTTCAATTTATAATCCAAGTTTAGTCCAAATAGCAAAATCTCAAAAGGCTCTTCTCAAGCTTAGTTTTAATCCTTGCTGGCCGGCCAAAGTTGTGACTGGTGATTAAAAGTGCATTGGCCGCAAAACAGTTTTAAAAAATGAAAATTGGCCAGAAGGAAGAGAGAGTTCTGGTTTGAAAATTGTACTTAAATATCAATTTAAGGCTAAAGCATGCTTGGATGAAAGTAATGATGCATTTAAGTGATTTTCAAGTCATGCAAATCTACTTTTAATGGTTTAGAATTGAAAAATAATTAGTATACTTTTTACTTCAATATATTTGTTAGTATTTATCAGTTTAATTATTAGAATTTAACATAAGTTTTTTGCTTTAAATTTAAATTTAAAAATAATAATTTTTTAAATAAATATATTATACAATATATTAAATTAAAATGTATACCAAACATTGTCTTTTAGGATTACATTTTGATTGATTTCATTTCAGGTTCTTTTGGTTTCCTGCATGAATTGGATGATGATTAAATGGATAATCCAATACTCCACATCTTGGTCAACATCTTTTTCTTTCAATTGTTTAATGGACCGATATGGTTTCAAGCCTTGGATGCCTCTTCGAGACTTGTTCAAGTCAATAAGTCAGAAATTAAGGGGTTTAATACAAGTATTAATTCGGAATATTCCATCATAGCTGATAATATCATAATTTTCCCAAGAGTTCTTGTGAGCTATGTCCAGACCATAATCAACATCAGTCACTCATAGCAACAAAGAACATTAGAAACCTTAGCAATTAAGGATTTGTTCCTGTCTTTATGCCGTGTTTCTGCTACATATAACCTGTACCACTACAAGTCATCTCAATATTAGTATGGTCTGGGGCATAAGAACAGATAAATAATTCCTATAAATTTGACAAAATATTAATAATAATCCAAATGGATAATAATTAGTTTATATTATGATTCAACATGCTATATAACATATTTATTAAAAAATTATTATTTTTAATATAAAAATAAAAATAAAAATATAATTATATACATATAATATAAGAATTGATTGAATTGATTGTACTTATATTATATTATATTAATATATTTTAATAAATCAATCGGGATGAATGTTAGAAGACAAACAAGAAAAGCATGCTTTTATTCATTCTGATCTGTTGGTTGTATAAGTGTTATCCACAACTGCAACTGCGCATGATTCACAACAAAATTGAATAAACCTGGTTACTAAACTAGTTCTACACGTTTTCCAGCGGATATTCTGAAAGCTTGTAGTTTACCAAACCGAAAAATCATTGCCTTTGTACCAGGCGCGCTGCATCTCCCAGTTCAACCTCACCTTGTGATTCTCGCCCACTCTGAAATATCATTTCAATTTCCTCCAAAGATTTCCCTTTCGTTTCTGGGACGCATGCGTATATAAAAACAACGGAAATAGCTGAAAACAGGGAGAAGACAAAGAAGGTTCCTCCAACTGTAATTAGACGAGACACAGTCAGGAAGGACATAGTAACGAGGCCACTACTGACCCTATTCCCCACTGCCCCCAAAGCGGATGCTTGAGCTCTCAGCCTTAGAGGGAAGATTTCAGATGACAAAACCCAGCAAATAGGGCCAATTCCAACAGAGAAGAAAGCTACATTTGCACAAACTGATAATAATGCCAATACAATCCCAAGTGGTCCATCTCCAAGAAAAGTTAGAGTCAGGCTCAAAGACAATAAGCTGAAAGTCATTCCAATTGTGCTTGTGTAAAGCAAAGGCTTTCTACCCACCTTGTCAATAAGAAATATTGCAATCAAGATGGACGTAGTTTTGGTAAATCCAACCCCAACAGTTGCAGCAAGAAGCTGAGTGTTGCCCTCTATCCCAGCCTCTCTGAAGATTGTTGGACTGTAATAAACTGTAGCATCAATGCCCGTGATCTGTTGGAAGCACTGGATTCCACAACCGGTAATAAGCATCCATCTAACCGCAGGTGTAGGATTAAATATTTCAGGCCACACAGCCTTTGCTTCATACTTCTCTGCATTAGCACTCCCAGCAGCTACTTGTATTTCTGCTAATCTTTCTGCTGCTTCTCTTTCGGTGTCATTTGTCTTTAAAAGCACACATCTTGCTTCCTCAAGCCTATTCTGCATGACCAGCCACCTTGGGGATTCAGGGATCACCAATAGCGCAAATACAATAAAGACCGAGGGAAGGAGTCCCACACCAAGCATGATCCTCCAACTTATATGCACTGGCAACCCTGCAAAAGCATAGTTCGAGATGTATCCAAGAAGGATTCCTAGATTCACAAAGATCTCAGGGAAGGATGTAAGTGATCCTCTAGCAATGGAGGGGGATATCTCAGCAATATATACAGGTGCTATCATGACCCCAAAGCCTATCCCCACCCCAGCCAAAAGTCTGCCTAGCATCAACACTCTAAAAGAAGGTGCAAGAGCCATTATAGCTCCACCTGACTGAAAAATAATGGCTGCAAGGGCTATTGTCCATTTTCTACCTGCGGTATCCGATATTTTTCCTGCAGCTAAACTCCCTAAAAGAGATATTATGCTTAAAATTCCAACCAGAATCTCTTCTTGTACCTCTGATATCTTCATATCCTCTCGAATGAATATAATTGCTCCACTCATGACACCCACATCTGAGAAAGAATTATAACACATTACAAAACCAAAGTGGGATTTCATCAATTAAGCAGATCGAAAAAACATGTCACGTTAGAAACATAAATAGGAAGGGAATTTCAATGGGCAAAAAGGAAGAACGAACCGTATCCAAGGAGGACAGAATTGAGAGACGCAAAGATGGCACATGCAATTACATATTTCCTCGTATCGACGATATTAACACTCTGAATCACAACCTCTTCAAGCTTCTTATGCTGGTTGTCATTCCTGAATACAATCTCCTCCTCTGCTCCATTAGAATTTATCCTCTTGTGCTTTTTCCCATTTTCCTGGAACCCCATCTCTCCCTGCTCCCCACTGGACACAATCTATGAAAATATAATCGAAATTACAGTATTAAACTCTCTCCCTTTCTTCAATATTACGAAGGGAAAGGCTCAGAAGATGACAAACACAGAAAATTTGGTTTCTTCGTCGCTAAATCAGGATTTGTGAGTATTTATGATTTGCTTAATTTGTGGGGTATTTGGGCCCACAGCATCTAAACACTATAGGAAAGACCAAAAAAAAAACCATTCTAATTTATATTTAAAAATAAAATAACTTAATATTTTTCAATTAGAGATTATTGAAAGTTTGAAACAAAGATAATTTTTTTTTAATCTTATTTGCAGAATGAAAAATAATCATATCTCATCTTTTATCTTATTTCATTCACATGTTATAAGACTTATAAATTCAATATTTTTTATTTTCAACTAAAAAAATGATCACTAAACTGTTTAAGTAATTAACGAAACAATTGTAATTTTAAAACAATTTATCTTGTAATATTTAATAATTAAGGTGGATATATACTACTCTTTTTTTAAATTATTATTTGCCATGTTGTACGATGTCACAAAAAAGAGTGTTAAAGCCCAAAAAGAGGAAGGCAAAACTCTATACTAGGCCCGTTAAGGCAATAACCAATCTTTAGAGAACTTGGGTCCAATTAACCAAACCCGCAACGGTCCATTAACTGTGGCCACATCCACACGTGCATGTCCTTCTCCGATTTACGAGCGCACCGTATTCCTCCATTATTTGAGACCGAAAAATGACGGTGGAGGTTGTTCCGCACCGGAATGGCGTCGTTCTTGGCAACGGAGATCTGAGCAACGGTAACTCTAACCGCAGCGTTGGCTCCAAGAAGTCTCGCGAGAACGAACGCCGTCGTCGCAGGCGCAAGCAGAAGAAGAACAACAAGGCCTCCCAGACGCAAACGGACTTTGCCAACGGCACCGATGGCGGAGATAGTGATGCCGGGGACGATGATACTAATGAGAACGCTAATCCTCAAAAGGTTAGTTCTCTTTCTTCTTAAAAGATTCCCAGGGTTTTTAAGATGTAATTTGTTCAAATTGGCAGTTCCTGTTATGGTCGTGATGTTTGTTGGTGATTTGAATGGATTTTGAATATGTGGCATGGAATTAGTGAAAGTAATGTTTTCTGTTAATTTATATTTGCATTTAGATGTGTTTTTAGCTTCGTTTATGAGTAACTTGGGAGAAAGGAGAACAAAAAGCATGAAACTAGAAAGCTTAGGTAGTACAGACATGCCTGCTTTTATTGTTAGAATACAGTTATTTTGCTTCAATTGCTTATATTATCTGCACATAAGCAATAAGCAAGTAGTAGAAGTTAAATTAGAATGCATAAATGGTACATTATTCCCTCCTTTTTTTCTTTTTTTTTTTCATTTCTAAGGTGGAGTCCTGGATTTTTCTAATAATAATTCTTACATTATTTGGCACACTTCCTGGATTTTTTTTTGTTGGTCTAACGCTCAAACTCTTCCATGACTTGTTGGTTTGGTTAAAATTTGAATCTTTGCTTGCAAAATTGGGGAATTACTGAATTAGTGAGTTATGCTTCTTAGTCGTCTCATGTTGTAATATTAATTCTCAGTTTACTCACATTTGACTTTGTAGGTTGTGGAGCCAGTTGTGGTTGAGTATGTTCCAGAGAAGGCCGAGTTAGATGATGGTATGGATGAGGAATTCAGGAAAGTCTTTGAGAAATTCAGCTTTCAGGAATCTGTTTCTGAGGTAAAAATGAAGTTGCTGATGCTTGGATATTGTTTTTTTCGTTCTTTTTTTTTTTTTTTATGGCCTTGAAAAAATTTATATTAGGTGTTATTTAATTCTGATTTTATTGGTTTTAATCTAGGATGTGGAGAAAAAGGATGAGTCTGCTCTGGGTGAAGACCCAAAGAAGAATGCTGATTCTGATTCAGATGAGGAAGAACAGGACAACCAACCGAAAGAGAAAGGTGGTCTGTCAAATAAGAAGAAAAAGGTTCCTCTGTCTTACTTTAATTGTACTGCATTGTAATTGAATTTTTTTTTTTTTTTATTTTTTATTTTGGGATAAAACTGAAAGATGATATTATTATTACTTGTCAGCTTCAAAGACGAATGAAGATTGCTGAACTCAAACAAATATGCTCAAGGCCTGATGTTGTTGAGGTATGTCTATCCATGCTTTGATTTTAAGTATGCTATTTGTCTCTTTTGACTTAGAATCTCTACCATGCTCCATCACATGCATTTGGTTGGATATCCATCTTAAGTTTCTGCTTATATATTGTATATTTGTTTATATATTATATTAATGCAGCCTCTATGTTGGTTTCTTGCTAACTCCTCCTTGCAACAACTTTTGGGTGATTGAGTTGCACTCATCTCTTTTCTGTCTTGTTGTCTCTTGTGCATGTTGAATTTGCACCTTCATTTTTCCCCCTTTCTATAATACAAATGGGAAACATTGTTGTTTTCTTCTTTAACATTCTGAAGCCCAGGATGTTCTGCTAAGGAATTGGAATTTTTTAAACATTGTTGTTTTTCTTTAAAATAGACATGGGAAACATTATTGTTTTTATTTGATGAAACTCACATGATATTGAATTGGTTTTTATAAATAATGGAAATTCAATTTGCATATGGAGTGATGTCATGATTCATGCTGACGTTGCACTGCTGTAAAATTGATAATTTGGAATTTTCAATATTCATCAACATCAAGTTGAGATAGTCACTGACTGTTGCTGGTTTCACTTCCGTCATGTGTTACAGTAGTTCAAACTATATCATTAAGAAAATGCATGTTGATTTTTCCTTGTGAAATGTTGCAACAAGTTCTTTAAATGCATATAAGTGTATATATTACTTGTATGATTTGATGTTAATGTTTATCTTGAAGGTGTGGGATGCAACTTCAGCAGATCCTAAGTTGCTGGTTTTTCTTAAGGCATACCGAAACACTGTTCCCGTGCCAAGGCATTGGAGTCAGAAGAGAAAATATCTGCAGGTTAGTAATCCTTGCGCTGAGATGTGTGTTATGGGTCAAATATGTATGCAGTATTGGTAGGCATATTCTTCACAAATGATTTAGGGAAAAGGGTGAGGGAAAATCAAAACAATAAGGCTTCTCTTATATGTATATATGTGGTTCTTGCAGGGGAACGGCTGTGACAACCATGGAGCCTGGAATTGTAGGTGTTTGGCAAAAGGGATCCTATAATCATTTTTCTTTTAAAATGCTTGTTATGTGAGCTGGGATATAGATATCTCTATGAATTTTTTGTGGGAACAAATTTCCTATGGCTTGCATTTCTCCCATGTTAGATGTTTGGGGTTTTTTCATTGTTGAGGTTCTAATTCATCTCTTTTGAATTTTCAGATGCCCTTCCATTGTGCTTAATGCTGGGGCTAGATTCATCTAAAATTTTAAAATTTTAAAGTTTTAAACTGATCTGTGTTGGATGCAGATGTGTCCTGTTATTTCTTACCGGTGAAGTCATTTGTATCTCATCTAATTTCTGGATTTTTTTCTGCAGGGGAAACGTGGTATTGAGAAGCAACCTTTTCAACTTCCTGATTTCATTGCTGCAACAGGAATTGAGAAGATCAGACAGGTACTTGGGATATCTTTTCTGAAGCAAATTGCATCCATTCTTTTGTTCTTCATTTAAATATATCCAGCTCAAATTTCATTTAAACATATTGGATTGGTCCCTTTGTCGTTTCGGGTTTCTTTTAACAACGTAGGCCTTCTTTGTTTTCTCCTTGGTGTGTGCCTTTTCATGTATGTGATGCATAATGTCCTAATGGCTAATGCATAGACAGTCCATGGGGCATATGTTGTTTGAGGATTTTGTGGTTAATAATGTCTCTTTTCAGTTGTTCTTTATCAAGTCATTGTCATCTTTTGTAAGCACAAAGTAATATGCTGCACCTTCTCTCATGCAGGCTTATATTGAAAAAGAGGACAGTAAGAAGTTAAAGCAAAAGCAACGTGAGCGAATGCAGCCGAAGATGGGAAAAATGGATATTGACTATCAGGTTCCTTTATTCATTGCTTCATAATTTCTTTTATGATTTTGAAGTATGGTTTGTGTTGTTTTTATGTGCTTGAGGTGCCTAGCATGCATGGTCCTTTCTTTGGATATATTTGAATGTTGAAACATTATATCACTTATTACAAACTATTAACTAGGGACATTATGGTTTATATTATAGGTTCTTCATGATGCATTTTTTAAATACCAAACAAAGCCAAAGCTGACATCTCATGGAGATCTCTATCATGAAGGAAAAGAATTTGAGGTAATCTTCTTTCTTCCTGTATACGATTACCTGTGCATGACAAATGTATGTGCCATCATGCAATCATCTTATTTTGTTGCACATTAACTTGATACTATTTTCAGAAAAATATTTTAATGGTATAGCATTGTCATGAACATCCCATCCATTTAAGCTTGGTGATGGTGAAGACGTTCAATGATACACATTTAGTAGAATTTTCCCTTCATTTTTTTTTTTTAATAATTTGTTTTCTTCTCTTGTCTGGCATTCAGGTAAAGTTGAGAGAGATGAAACCAGGCACTCTCTCACATGAACTAAAAGAAGCACTTGGTATGCCAGAAGGTGCTCCACCTCCGTGGCTTATCAACATGCAGGTTATTTTACTAACTTGATTTTGCTATTGGGGTTTGAGGTCCCATTAATATTGTTTTGAAAATGGTAAAGTATTTGATGTTGCAATGACTTGAGTTCGTTTTTTTTTTTTTTTTCCTCCAGAGGTATGGTCCTCCTCCATCATACCCACATCTGAAAATACCTGGGCTGAATGCTCCCATCCCTCCTGGAGCTTCTTTTGGTTATCATCCTGGTGGCTGGGGCAAGCCTCCTGTAGATGAAGTAAGCTTTTAAAGCTTCTTTTACAGTGTCTTTTAGTAAGTTAGAAACTGCCTTTGAACAAGTGTCTCAATCCATTTGTTTTATGGTTCTAATTAGACTGGGCGTCCTTTGTATGGAGATGTTTTTGGTGTTCATCAACAAGAACAACCCAACTATGAGGTACTTTCTAGTACTCTTAAGCTTGTAGATTGGTATTCAGTGTTGTGCTTTCAACTAGTAAAGTTTAACCAGTTAGCCTTTACAAAGTTTTGATTCTATCCTATTATACTAATCCAGCTTCTAACTGGGGTTTTGCTGAAATTTGAGCATGGCTTGATTTTATTTTGAACATTTGATTATTAAGATAACCTTTATATATATTCACAAAAGCATACTCAATATAGGTGTGGTAGATGTGACTTGGCTCCATGTGCAACATTTGAGAGAAAAATATTGAAATTGACTGTTTCAACTTTCAAAGTTTATTAATTGGGAATGTCTTCCTGAACCTTGAATGTAATGATGCTAGCTTACCTCTTTTTTATGGAATGATGAATTTCAGGAAGAACCTGTTGATAAGACCAAGCACTGGGGTGATTTGGAGGAAGAAGAAGAAGAGGAAGAAGAGGAGGAAGAGGAAGAAGAGATAGAGGAAGAGGAGCTAGAAGCTGGCATTCAATCGGTGGATAGCCTTTCAAGGTATTGTATTTTCTTGTTGACAGTGTTTAATGTTTATTGGTATCATACTTGGCCTGTATCTTGAGGCCTGACTGTCTATTTTGATTTTAGTTGGTATCTAGCGGCTACTGTTGTTCTCTTCTTGCTGTACCAGAAGTAGTACTTTCTAATGTTCTTACTCTTCCTATTTTTTGATTCAGCACTCCTACTGGCGTTGAGACACCTGATGTCATTGACCTTCGTAAGCAGCAAAGAAAGGAGCCTGAGAGGCCTCTTTACCAGGTGAATATTAATTTAAATTTAAATTTTTATTTTTTTTTATTTATACATATTTTATCACTATCAACCATGTTATTTCCTTCTGAATACTTCTTTCTTGCACTGTTCATTTAAAGGTACTTGAAGAAAAAGAGGAGAGAATTGCTCCTGGGACTTTGCTTGGAACAACACACACGTAAGCATCCATGCTTGTGTTGAATATTTTCTTAAATTCCATTTCTTTTTTCTTCAAATTTTCTACTGATTTCATGAAACTTTTTTTGGCCTACAGGTATGTGGTCAACACAGGCAACCAAGATAAAAATGCAGCCAAAAGGGTAAGAAAGAAGTGAAAAAAGAAAAAATGCATATATTTCTTAGTGTTTAAATATTATTTTCTGATTAAATACTACAACTTGCAGAGATTGTTATTTGTGCCATTATCCAAGTTCTGCTTTTCACTTTTAGGAAAGGAAATTTATTAAATTAGTGGATAGTGTGTACCAATTTGGCTTAGCACTTTTTTATTTGAGTTCTAATTTTTATAATTATTTAATATTCTTTGCAGGTTGATCTTCTTAAAGGTCAAAAATCAGATAAAGTGGAAGTCAGTCTACAGCCAGAAGAACTGGAAGTCATGGACAATGTTTTGCCTGCAAAGTAAGTTCTATCCTTGTAGACATTACCTTCTAAACAGTAGCATCTGATAAAATAAAATAAAAATTTCTAGTTGCTAACTTCTATCAACTTTGCAGGTATGAGGAAGCTAGGGAAGAGGAGAAACTACGTAGCCAGCGTGAGGATTTCAGTGATATGGTTGCCGAGGTAAGCATTATCTATTTTATTGATCATTGGTTGTGAAGCTGGACTATTCTTTAGTTTATGCTCATAGGTTTCGTAGAAATATTATGATTTAAATATAAAATTCACTTACAATGGACTGGAAAAAACCAGTAGAAAATGCAATCTCTTTTTCTATAGTTTGTAATGGGACTTCTGGGGTTGGGATAATACACACATTGCTTTTGTTGAGGTTGTAACAATGAGGTCTGATTTGTGCAGAATGAGAAGAAAAGGAAGCGGAAGATGCAAGAAAAAGACGGGAAATCTAAGAAGAAGGATTTCAAATTCTAGGGAGGCAAAGATTTTGAAATGTAATTCTGCTGTGATGATATATATATGAAATCAGTAGCTACCCCGCTTCATCAATCGTAGTTTGTATTGTGATGCAAAAATCGAGCCCTCGAAGCATTTTCATTTTCATTTTTTTCTTTTTTAATTATGAAGCACTGGGGGCTTGTTTAATGGTAAACCAGAGAGCAGAAAACGTTGAGGTTTCAAACCTGAATTGTTTTTTCTGGAAAATTGCAATTTATGGTTTATGTTGACTGAAATATTTGTCAGATTTGCACTTAGGCTTTCGGGTCCAGTAACGTCAAGCTATATATAAGTGCATTCTTTTACCTTACCTTATGACAACGGTTCAAATTTAACTTTTTATGAATTTGTTAAAAAAAATATGTATATATTTTGTCAGATTTGTCCTCTCTGGATTTTGGAAACCCCGAGGCTGGGTGGAGTTTGCTACTTCATTCCGTATTGACAGCTCCATTTCCCGTCGTGCAAGCAAGGATGTTCCCATACAAATGTGAAAAGAATACTATTAGAAGCGAAGATTCGAAAGTGGATAATCTTTAATTAAACCATTGGCGTCCACGCCTTCTCTGCCATTAAGAAATGGGAAACTGAAAGAATGAGCGGTAAACTCTTGGAATCGAGTGCTCAAAAAATAGCATTGCAGAAAATTGCTGTATGCAGTACTTTTTAAAACATATTATTTAAAAATGTTGATTTACTTATAATTAATTAATTTAATTAATATTTAATATATTTTTAATAATTTTAAATAAAATTAAAATTATATGGTCCAAAAAAACAATTGTAATTATAATCTTGTTGTAAACTTATAAAATTTTACTATTAGTATATTATTTCCGCTTAATATTATGAGTGCTTAACCTTTATTTTTTTTCTTAATGTTTTGAACTCTATTTAATATAGTTGTAGTTTTGAGTTGTAAACTTATAAAATTTTACTATTAGTATAT